TTGCAGTATTTTTGGAACGGAAGGGCAAAGTGGGAAATTCAGTTAAGACTATTGAGCGGGAAAATGAAAAGAGTTGGACGCAAGGGAGTGACACGTGGCGGTAATGGTACTGTTTTATTAGGAGAGTAGATGGAGATGGAGATTTTCCCTTTCTCAAATAATCATCGGGCCAAACAGGCAAGTAGAGAAGAAAACGATGGTTAGAGTAGGCACTGGGTCTTATCTTTTTTTTTTTTTTTTGGTTTGAAAATCGGAGAAAACTACACAAAAGAATGATGCTAGAGTAGCCAGTGATGGTGAAGGTGAAGCAGAAGGCAAAAAGAAATCAGCATTAAAGATCCCCAATTCAAGCCGCTTATTCATAATTGATAGCAAACCCCATCTACACGATCCGGTACCCTCCTCTTTATTATTATTATTTCTTTTTTGTACAATTAGAGTCCGTTTTCCTAAATGCATTAAGAATAACCTGCCTACATTGGTTAATTGATGCTATGTGAGAACCTTAGTTTGATTTTTGTCTTTATTTTTTTTATTTTCAGTAGTATATTATGGGTCCCATCGCTTCAGATTATGTGTAATCTAGTTGTTGTTTTTTTCTTGGTGTTGCTTTTAGATTGTTACATCAAGACCAATAATTGAGAAGGAGGATTTCTTACAATATAGAAAAAGTCGTACTGTTGTCCTAGTCATTGAGTTAATATTGAGCACTAAAAATAGCCACCTGTCATTGACGAAGTCATACCACTATCAGTTTAGTTTTCTTCTTACGGGATACTCAGTCAGTACTCACTACTAGTGTACGGTTTTTTATCCACTCTTTAATTAGATAGCAATACATGATACTCAGTGCTAGTGCCTATTTTACATTGTTTTGTCTGAAAAAAATTAATTTAATAGTGTCAAAGCTAGGGAGGGTCTAGATAGTTATTTTAGTTAATAAAGATGTAAAATTTTTAGTGTAGATGATAAACTGAAAGAATTCATGCCTTGCTATTTTGAGATTTATAATAATTTTGTAAATTTCTTACCCGCTTTTTTAGTCACCGCTAGTCTAAGGTTTTTTTTTTTTAATCAAAATATTTATTTTTAACAATGTAGTAGGCCGTGGATTAAATGGACCAACATGGCTTTGATTCAAACAAATTCACAATAAATAATTAAAATGAGAAAAAGTCGTTTCATAGTTATTAAATGCTTAGTCCCAATTGATATCATATCAGATCTTCATGTATGGTTACTGTATCTGATTCTAACAGTTTTTGTTTTCTTGGGATTTGTATTACATAACTTGAGGACAAAAAAATATCATACCATGGGAAACGATATTTATAAAAAATACAAATGGTCAAGACTTGTAAGTCTTTGAGCATCTAATTTGGGGCAACTAAATCCAATTTTATATCCAATTTCATGAAAATGAAGTATTGTATGCTCCACACAAGTGGGCCACCAATTTGAGGCCATCCACTTAGAACCCTTCATGTCACAGAAGACACTATATAAACCCTCCTGGGGGCAGTTCATATATGCATCAATACAATCCAAAAACTCACCAATATTTGCGTTTACATTATGTATCATTGTGTTTTTATTATAATTTTCTCACTTCTCTTGCCAAGTCTTGAGACCATAATCGCTAACCAATTGGTAGTAGTTGGAGGAGGAGATGATAATATTGTTATAAACAAGTGTTTGGATAAGGAGATACATGCTCTCCTTCATTTCAAAGCCCTCCTTAAAGACCCCAATGGTATTCTCTCTACATGGAAAGATGACGAACATAACTGTTGTAAATGGCTTGGAGTCACATGCAACAACCAAACCGGTCATGTCACAGGGCTTGATATCGGTTTGTGTAGTCTTGAAGGTGAGATTAGCCATTCATTGGCTAACTTAACCTACTTGAATCATCTTGATCTTTCTGGCAATTCTTTTCATGGAACCATTCCCAGGTCCATTGGTTCCTTGACTGAACTAAGGTTCCTTAGCCTATCAAATAACTCTCTTTATGGAACCATTCCTCCAGAGTTTGGAAACCTCACTAACTTGCAATGGCTTTACCTTGGATTTGTTGGAAGATGTAGAGTTGAAAACCCAGAGTGGTTGTCTGGCCTATCTTATCTGGAGGAGCTTGTCATGAATGGGATTTCTTTGGCCAAAGCAAATCACTGGGTGGATGTCATTTTGAGTCTACGGAAACTAAATTTCTTGAGTTTGCAGAGTTGTGAGCTGTCACAGGTGATGTATCCATATTCTTCATTTCTCAACTCTTCTTCATCTATTGAAATCCTTGGTCTTGTAAACAACAATCTCACCTCATCCATGTATCGTTGGTTGTTCCCATTAACCAGCAATAAGCTTCATGAACTTTATCTCTCTAAGAACATGTTACATGGGATACCCAATTATCTTGGTAGTCTCTGTAGTTTGAAAACTTTTTTCTTCATCAACAACTCTGCTGTTTTCAAATTTCCTGATTTTCTGAAAAACTTGTCCGGATGCACATCACTTGCATTACAATCATTGGATGCTTCTTATAGCCAATTTACAGGGTCATTGTCTGATGACATCCAAAAGTTTTCATCCCTAAACATTTTGAGCCTGTCTCATAATCACTTAAATGGAACTATAAGTGGGAAATTGTGGGAACTACCCAAGCTTAAAGTTCTTGACGTCTCTTTCAATTATCTTAGAGGTGCTATCTCTGAAAAAATCGGAAATTCCAAGGCAATTATTATAAATCTTTCGAAAAATTCAATTGAGGGAGTTGCATCTACAGATCACATGTCAAACCTTTCTCATATAGAGTATGCTGGTATGAGCTCTTGCATGCTAGGGCCCAACTTCCCCAAATGGATTCAAAAATTTAAAAATCTCACCCGTCTTGATATTGCCAATAATGGAATTTCAGACACAATTCCTCTGGGGTTTTGGGACATGTGGCCTTCACGATTAACATATTTGAATCTCTCTTCCAACAACATCAGTGGGCAAGTACCAGATTTATCATCAAATTTTGACTATCGGTCAGTGATAGATTTGAGTTCCAACAGATTTTATGGTCCGATGCCGAATGTTTCTTCCACTCTAGTATCATTAAATCTTTCCAGAAACAAGTTCTCTGGAGAAATTTCCCTTCTATGCCAAATTGTCGGTGGGTTGTTGCAATTTCTTGACCTCTCTGATAACTTTCTAACCGGGAAACTTCCAGACTGTTTGTGGCATTTCAAAGACCTAAAAGTTCTTAATCTAGGAAACAACTATCTATCTGGAATGCTTCCCGCCTCTTTAGGATATTTGGTTCAACTTGAGGCGTTGTATTTATTCAACAACGACTTCTCTGGAGAGTTGTCGTTGTCTCTAATGAATTGCACCAAGTTAAACTTCTTGGATTTAGGAGCCAACAAGTTTTTTGGGAAGGTACCTGTTTGGATTGGGGAAAGCTTGACAGGATTGTATGCTCTTATCCTAAGATCAAACCACTTCTTTGGAACCATCCCTTTGCAGTTATGTCACTTACAAAAGCTCCAAATTCTAGACTTGTCGATGAACCATCTCCATGGAACCATCCCCTCATGTTTGAACAATCTTACAAGCATGGTTCAAGACAGATTCTCACAAGTAGAAAATGTACATCATCATTTCTCATGGTCTATCGATATATTTAGTTTTGATGCTGCATATGTTGACCATGCGATGATCATGTGGCAAGGAGCTGAACGTGAGTTCATTAGAAATCTTGGATTGTTGAAGAGCATCGACCTGTCAAGCAACAATTTAACAGGAAAAATCCCATATGAACTTACCGATCTCTATGAAGTGTTTGCACTAAACTTATCAAAGAATACTTTTCTTGGAGAGATCCCATCGCAAATTGGTCTGATGAAAAAACTCTTGGCTTTGGATTTATCAAGAAACAATTTGTCAGGAGGGATACCATCAAGTATGACTCAAATGACTTTTTTGGGTTACCTTGACGTGTCATGTAATAACTTGTCAGGGAAAATCCCATCTAGCACTCAGCTCCAGTCTTTTGAACCTTCAAGGTACAATGGGAACACCGGACTATGTGGACCTCCGCTTAACAAAAAATGTCCTGGAGATGAAAAACCTGAAGTGCCACCCGTTATTGGTAGAAGTGAAGGTGTAGATGAAGTTGAAAGATGGTTTTATATTGGTGGGGGCACTGGTTTTGTTACTGGATTTTGGATAGCATGTGGTGCTTTACTTCTCAATCGTCAAGGGAGACATGCTTTTTTTCAGTTTTATGATAGCTTCAAAGACTGGGTTTATGTGAAGGTGGTGGTCCTCATTGCAAATTTGCAAAAGGTTGTACATAAATAGTTTCTCATCTAATTTTTCTTTTTGACTTGTTATATGTGAACAGACCTATTCATATTATTATCAATTAGGGCTAGAGGTATAGTATTGTAATTTGGCACCCGTTTTTAAGTCCCCGATATCAATAAAATTTCCACCAAAGCCATGGATGGCCATTTTCTGCACTGTGTGAATTGAGGCATCCCGAAGATTTTTTATTTTTAAATGTAGTTAATGATGTATCTTTTAATGAACTATTTTTCAAGGTCAAATTCTCAATGTAGATTATTTGGAGAATTAATGCTTGACAGATGATCTATACATTGAAACTCGTTACTACCATCCAGCTATTTGTAGGTTTCTACAAAATTGCCAAAACTGGAAAAATAGCAATTTTCCAAATGGCCCGAAGACCTCTAGGTTATCTTGATTAATCTCAAACCATTTGAGCAAACATACACAAACAAACATATTTTTCTAATAACAAATTAATCATCAACAGTAAGAAATTAGGGTGACATAATAGGGTAACAAACTATCTAACCTGTTTTAAAATACCATTAGACTAATAAACAGATGTGACCGGTAATAGCCCTTTCTCCCGGACACATGGTTTATTATAAACAAAAGTTATATTTTGTTACCGTTTCAAAGATTACTTATTTTTTTATTTATTTCTTTCTCTATTTATTTATTTTTTCAGTTTAATGGTGTTGACTGAAAATTGAAGGGGGCGACTCACTTTCTGGGAAAGCTGTAAGCTAGAGACACTACATCAGTTTTCCGAGTCCGGTTGCACTGCCCTTTTGTCAAGGATATTTAAGCACTTCATTCAGAGAGTGATAGTTTTTCTTTCTCAAACATTCTTTCTACTTGATTTTTCTCTCTCGAGTTCCTCGCTAACACTTAACCCATCTTCTTGGGTGAAGCACTGATTCTCTTAGACTTTGTCTTTGTTGGGTTAATCGGTTTGTTCGCATATCATGCGGGTCACGGATCAGCGGATCTGCAGGTGTTGTGAAAAATTCAAAAAGGATTGAGAGAAGACCTTGGATGTGACCGGGGTGGAGGTCGGGTGTCCGGGAAAGGTCAAGAATCGAGAGAGTTCAAAAAGACGAGATGAACAAGTTGCTAGGAATGAAGATGTGTGGGATTCTGGATTAAGGGGGAGATTGTTGGATTAATTCATAATCGGGGTTACCTATTTAAGTTTCGTTTTATTGTTTTAGAGTTTGACTAGGATACTATCTTAATTAGTATAAATAGTTGTAGTCGTTGTTTTGTTAAGGTATTCCAGTAACTAAGGTTTTCCAGTTTATTATTGATAGCCCTGACCTGTGTGATTTTCGTAAGAATATCGAGAGAAAAAGATAGAAGATGGGTACTCTCCATGTTCCTAGAGAACTTTTATAAATTTTCAGCATGCCAATACAGGACCTGGGGACCAACCTACTGGCCAAGGAACCTGCACCTACTAGAATGTCCCCCATAACAGAAAGTGTGGGTGGAGCATTACACAAACAAAAAGGACTGAATACTAAAAGATAGAATTCAAAAGGAAAGACAAGAAAACTGTAAGCAGGCCTAATCCAAACGAATTAGGTTGAAATGGGCTTCTTCTTTCTCCTGCTGTAGACAAAGTGGTCCATGGGCTTATCAATACCTGTCTCCCAAACTTGAACCTTGCCCTCAAGGTTGAATTCTGGAAATTGCACTTGCATCTTGTCGAAGGCCTCCCAAGTGGCCTCAGATTGTGAAAAATCCTTCCATTGAATCAATACTTCTCTCCCTTGATCCTTCTCATTCCCAGGTCTGACTCCTTTGAGCATTTACGGTTGCATGATTAGCTCCAGTTCAGATGTGAGTTGAGGGGGCAATTCCTTGCTGATGTGAGGTTCCCCATGGACTGCCCTTATTTGGGACACGTGGAACACAGGGTGAATGGAGGTAGTGGGAGGAAGTTCAAGTCTGTATGCCACTTTCCCCAGTTTTTGAGAAACTTTTTAAGGCCCATAGTACTTGGGTGACAACTTCTCATATCTCCTTCGTGCCAAGCTCTGTTGACGATAAGGTCGTAGCTTCAAAAACACCATGTCCCCTTCCCTAAACACGACCTCCCTTCGGTGCTTATTAGCTTGTAAAACCATTTGTTGTTGAGCTCGGAGCAGGTTCATGCGGAGGTCGTCTAGGATGGCATCTCTATCTTCCAAAAGCTTATCAATTGCATCCATATATGTGTGCTGTCCTTCATATCGGTTTATTACCGGTGGCTCACGGCTATACAGAGCCTTGAAGGGGGTACATTTAGTGGCTAAGTCGTGGGAGGTGTTGTACCACATCCCAGCCCAAGGCAACGACCAGCTCTTGGGTTTTTTGGAGCAGAAACGCCTCAGGTAGGTTTCCAAACACCGATTAACCACCTCCGATTTCCCATCCGTTTGGGGGTGGTACGCGGTGCTCCTCTTTAAGTTAACTCCATGCAGCCTGAACAATTCTTGCCATAGTTGACTAATAAAAATGTGATCCCTGTCACTGATAATCACTGTGGGGAAGCCATGTAGACGAACAACTACTTTGATGAACTCACCCGCTACCTTAGCAGCAGTGAAAGGATGTTCCAGGGAATAAAATGAGCATAATTTGTTAGGCGGTCCACCACCACCCAAATTGTATCCCAACCATCGGGCAGCCCTTTGATGAAGTCTATAGTGACTTCATCCCGAGTTTGCAGGGGCAAGGGAATCGGTTGTAATAACCCCACTGGTGAGGTCTTAAGGGCCTTATGGGTTTGGAAAACTTGACAATTCCTCACGTAGTCAACTATGGTGGTGCGCATACCCTGCCAATAAAATTCAACTGCTACCCTCATGTATGTTTCCTTCTCTCCGGAGTGCCCCCCAATCGGAGAGTTGTGGAAGACTGCAATGATTTTTTTTGGAGGAGTGGAGATGTAGAGGGGACAACTAGTCTTCCTTTGTACAAGAGGTTCCCTTGGTACACAACGAAACCTTTGTGAGATCCAACATCTTCTTCCACATCAGCCTTCAATTTCTAAATGAACTCATTTTGTGACAACTCTTCCTTCAACTGGTCCCAGAATTTCCAAACTCCTATGTCGAGAGTTTTGCATCGCATGGGTGGTTCTCTTCGTGAAAGAGCATCCGTCATCCGGTTGCTGGCGCCTGGACAGTACCGTATGTCGAAATCAAAACCCATGAGTTTGGAGACCCATGTCTGATAATCGCTTCCCACCATTCGTTGCTCCAAGATGTATTTCAGGCTTAGTTGATCCGTACGGACAATGAATTTTCTCCCTAAGAGATAGGGACACCACTTTAGGATCACCATAACAATTGCCATAAGCTCTTTCTCATAGATGGACTTTAATATAGCTTGAGCTCCCAAAGTGGAACTATAATAAGCTATGGGGTGTTGTTCCTGCATTAAGACAACTCCTAGACCATGCCCTGGTGCATCAGTCTCAATGATGAACACTTTCTTGAAGTCCGGCATGGCTAGAACCGGGACCTTGGTCATGGCTTCTTTTAACTATAGGAATGTTGCCTGGGCTTCATCATCCCACCCAAATTTGTCTTTTTTTAGCTGATTTGTTAGGGGTTTTGCAATGTTCGCATACCCTTTTACAAACTTTCGGTAGTATCCCGTGAATCCCAAGAAGCCTCTTAGAACCTTGATGTTTGTGGGTGTTGGCCACTCTTGCAACGCCTGAATCTTATTGGATTTCGTGGACACCCCTTCAATAGATACTTCATGAACCAAGTAAGACAGGCGAGTCTTTCCAAATTAGCACTTCTTAAAGTTCACAAACAGTTGGTGTTCTTTGAGCTTTTCTAAGGCAGTCACCACGTGAAAATAATGCAACTCTTCACTCGGGCTGTAAATCAAGATGTCGTCGAGGAAGACGAGAATAAACTTTCAAAGGTAGGGGCGGAAAACATCATTCATCAGGGCTTGAAAAGTGGTTGGGGCGTTTGCAAGGCCAAAAGGTTGTTGGGTTAATCGGTTGGTTCAACGGGTCATGGGGCTGCCATCACAGCGGAAGTCGGGTGGTTGGCAGTGACCTTTTTGTTACGGGGAGCAGAAAACTGAAGGTCTTATCGCACAAGGAGGTTCGAGAAAGAAGAGGCTGTGAAGGTGCTGGCATTTTTCAATGGTTAATGGCAGAAAAGGTGTTTCAGTTGGTGGGTTTCTTGTCGGCTGTCTTTAGTTTTTGGTGGTGTCCGACAAGGTGGTGATTCCAGCGGTAGTTTGTGGGTATGTCACCGGAAAATGGAGAGAGTTACCGAAGTTGCGTGAGAAAACGAAAAGAAAAGATCCGTCAAAGCAGGTGGCTTTGGGTTTGTTTCGTTTTGCAGGTGAAAGAATACGGGAAAAGCGGGTTGCTTTGTTTTCTTGATCGGTGGAAGAAGGCTCTCGTTTCACAGAAGTGTTAGGTGAAAACGGATTCTATGTGGTGACAAACAACAGCCGGGTATGAAGGACTTTGGACGTGACCGAGGTGAAGTTCGGGTGTCCGGGAAAAGTCGGGATTGGATGAAGACTTTGGACGTGACCGAGGTGGAAGTCGGGTGTCCAGGAAAGGTCTTCAATTGAGATGAAAAGAGGGTGATTAAAGGCTGCTGTGAACATGTCACACCCCCAAACCGGAACGGCGGAAACGTTCGGGAGTGGATGACGTCATGTTTAGTCTCACAACCATTGTATCATAGCAATCATAGTAAGACAACCATTACAGTGAATACATATATGAAAAAGGTTTACATCAGTTTAAGTCTTTGTTTGTATACATCAAAAGTATAAGCAAAAGTATGAAAACGTGACTTTTATTGCTCCGTCTTCTCAAAATCCAGGAGATACCTGTCTACTGATTTCCTGAGAATACAAGCAGTTTTGAAATAGTATCAGCATAAAGCTGGTGAGGTCATAAACATGTTTTTGAAATGAAAACATGTTGATGAATCCGTGAAAGTGTTTGTATGTTTCCAAGAAAATCCAAAATTTTC